TCATCTGCTTGCAGGTAAATGGCATCCCTGAGGAAAGAAAGCTAACAGAAGCAATGAATTTGTAATCAGAGAAGGCAGCACACTGTCTTACTTCTGTACATGTTCCGATCGACGCATGTGTGTTCCTGGTGTGTATTGTGCATGCCCACAGTCTTAAGATGCTTGCAGTGCCAGAGAGTACAATCACTTCCACGTAACTAACGTACTGTATCCTTTTGTACTTGGGACATTTTGGACAATTTGTAAACACTGATAACTTTTTATATTTGTTACCTTCAGAAAATAATCTTTCAAATATATGTATTAATAAATAGCAAACTCTATTCTGTCTTGTGATCTCTCCTGCAAGTTTTAACAGGGAAATCAAAACTTCAAAATAAGCACCGGGATCAAAGGATTTCAGTGGGACGATAAACAGCTTTGGAGTTGCACATGCAAAGCAGGAGCTTATAAATGTCCAAACTTGTGCAATATGAGGCTTAGACACAGCTTTCCAGATTTATTACGCATTAACTTTTTAGAGATTATCAGAATGTAATGAAAAGCTATTTTTGGGAAAAAACCCCAACCAAATTAACCCCCATATTTATCCTGTCTGACAGCTTGTGAGCAATAAAACATTTAAAATCTGTCCATTCATTATCTGGTTACGTTAGAAGAAACCGCTACAGCTACTGGAGCCAGAAATGGAAGTCTGCAAACAAACAAGGGGAAAGGTGGTTACAGTATACACAGACTAACTTTTAACTCCTTAAGAACACTCTCCGCTATTTTTTTTGGTGCTATCCCTGATGCGGTTTATTTTTTTATATCCTCCACGTTCTTGGTTCTTTTGGGAGCTGTGGGAGAACTAGCTCTCCAGTAGAGCAGGGATGATTTCTGAGCAGCCAGAAGTTGGTGAAGACACACTGTCCTGGGAGGTGGCTACTTTGAGAGGCATTTTTCCCTGCAGCCGAAGGCATTCTCCAGGATATGACACTGTAAGCAGAGCTGCGTCTGCTTTCCACTGCTACGTGCTGCGTACGTTTCCCTAGCTGAGCTGTCTGAGGTCTCTGCTAAGAGAAATTCTGAGTAATTTAGGAATTCTAGACTGAGGCTAAAAAGCAATGGCAAAACGAGGTGATTCGAGTTTGAAAAGACCAAAGTAGTCACTGTGTTTTGATGGTTACAACCCTGTTCCTTCGAAACACAAAACCTGTTGATTTTTAAGCGCACAGGGATGTGTTCGTCGGCTGGGACCTGCAGGCAACACCTCGGCAGGTTGCTAAAGCAAGTCCTGAGCTGCTTTTTAGGCACACTGGGCAGCAAGTATGGTAACTCTCGCAGCAAAGTACGTAGTCGGTGCTCGGCGCGCTGCGCTGTCACGCCTTTACTGGTCAGTCTGTGAGGCTGCCCCAAACAGGGAGCGCAGCCGGCAGCGTCTAGCCCTAGGCGTAGCGCCGGCGGCTGTTACGCTGTCAGAGGTGGCTGAGGCTACAGTGTGGAAGTTGAAGCGCCAAGTCGGTTTTGGAAACGGTCGGAATCTGCTCACTCTGAGGGGCGTGCCTCACGCCTACCTACCGCCTCCCGAGGGACCAGGGCAGAGCCTTCCATCAGTCAGCTTCCTGAGAGACCCCTCCCTTTTCCCAGCAGCTGGGAGGGTTACCGGTGGAAAGTCAGCTAGAAAACTGCACGCTGAGATTCACAGTAACTTACAGATCTACGTCTTTCACCCAAGCCGCGAAAAGCTGGAGTACCATTAAGCATCTGGTTTCTGTTCGTTTCTACCGCCCTTCGCTCGCAAACGTCGGGCTGGCAGCGCTTTCAGTCGGCAGCGAACGGAACGGATTTTACACGGTGGCTTTTAGTGCAACGTGAGGCTGTACTTTGTTAACAGGATTGGGTGTGGATCGTAGCGGTTTCTGGTAACGATGGCGTGACAATCAGTTCACCAGCTGCTCCCGCCTGACTGGTGTTCAGGTGTAACAGTGCCAATGCGTTTAAGGAAATCCCTTAAACTGTTAGGTACATGGATAAACAATCGGGTTGTGCCAGTGGGCGCTCCACCTGTTCTGAAAAGGATCTAATGATGTAGGTGACTGGGGGAGCGAGCACACCTGAACTGTTTTATGACTGAAAGCTCCAATTATTTGAGGTAAGTTTAATAACAGATTATTTATTTTTACTTATTAAAACAATTACTGTGGAAGCATAATGTATAAAGCTGGCTGGAGACACTTGATGGTTGAAGAATTAGTTAAAGGGGCAGCTAGTTAAACCAGTAAATTCACGGCCTCTTAACGCTGTACGATGGCAGGATGAACCGATCTTGTATTGAGTGACAGTTGCAACCCAATCAAATAAGCACAACAGCTGTCTTTGTAAATACATGAAATGTAAAACCTAATAAACAGGAAAACATTAAGTGGCGATGGTGTTGCCTGGTTATTTTACATCACAACGCCCGAACGACTCTCTTACAGCATTACCATGACCCTAAGCGTCTGAGAACTGAGGTGGCACCGGGTTCCTGTTTAACAGGGGAGATGGAGAGTGTTTGCACCCCTTCTTTGAGGTGCCCACGTCAGGTATTACCCCCCAGGTTATCCAAGGAGCTTTCGGGATAGGAACTACCAGCCCGAATCCTTTGCTTCTGCTATTTCGTGTGAGACTGAAGTAGCCAAATTAAAAGCTGAATTCCTTAACCCAAACAAACCCAAGAGGTTTCTTGATGTTGCCAGGCTGGAGAAAAGCCAGGTCAGTTCCTCTGCTTCCATGCAGAGCTCTGCCAGTTTCCAGCTTGCAACCCAGGGGGCACAAGTATTCGACCCCTCTGACTCTGTAAAGGCCCCCGAGCTCCGGGGGTGGTTTTGGAGTTGTCATTTCATCACACCTGCGGCAGTGCAGTTTACTGCAGCGGAATCCCTCCTGCACTGCGTCTGAAATAACTTGTGATAGGAGCGAGTATCTGCCCTGCACCTGAAGGAACGTCACGCCAGAGGAGCTGCGACACTGATCCGATTGAGGGCAGGCAGAGGAGTGAAGTGCAGCCCAGCTAGAGTCAAGCAATCCAAAGTTTTTACTTCACTGATGCTGCTCCCATTACAAAAATAAGCATCCACAGCACGTTTATTTAATGTTTAAATTACTTCATATTTTTACATAACCTGAAAAGAAAATATATTTATCCCACATACAGTAAGAGTAAACAAGTGCATTATTTCCACCATTAAAAATAAATCTTTTAACCCAGTCTGTACAACAGATAAATAAAATTCTATCTACAATACTTCGTCTGTGAAGAACAAAACCAAGAAGTTAGCGCTCGGACTCACAGTTCCCCGTTGCTCCTAATACTGGCGTAGGCGAAGGTCCTGCGGCCGCTCCCTCACTGCCATGCACCTACACGTCTTCCAGCCCTTCGGCCTCCCAGCCAGGGAGGTGAGCTTCCCGAGCGCTGGAGGTCGCACACAAAGAACGCACAGCTGAGTGGCTTTCCCATAGCCTCAGAACAGCTGGCATAGTGAAACTGCTGAGTTTGGGGGAAGGGAATGATTTTTTTCTTTCTCATGATGAACGACTGTTCTTGAAAAAGCCACTGCTCTCCACTGACAGAATAAATGAAGCCGTTCTTTTCCCAGATACTTTTGCAAGTGTGAATTCAGTTTTTTAACGGGGCTAAGATCAGAAGCATGAACGTGACAGTACGCAGGTACAAATTTGGATTCATATTGGTTGTCGTCATACCTAATTGCACACATGCTTGAAAAACACTACTGTGCTCGTGTCTGTGCCGGCTGACAAGTAACCAGTAGAAGAATGAAAGGAAAAAGCAGCTGGAGGTCGAGCTATTGCTTGAACCAGAACTGCCAACAGCAAAGAAATGGCCATAACTTGACTGGAACGTAAAGTACAGCTTGTCACTGCCACACTGACAGCTGTTCCTTTCTGATTTACTTTTTATGTGAAAGGAAGGAGTTAATAAAAAAGATGGGCACTGCTGTAAAGGTTGGTTCTTCCAAACAGCTCCGGCCTCCTTTCACTTGTAGTTCTGAGACAAGGCCATCTGCGCACAGCAAGCCGATGCTGCGTCCCTCCTCGTGACAGCGACAGATTGACTTGCGTCCTTCTGAAGGAAAACCCCACCCCAGGACAGAACGTGGCACCAGTCCCTCGTGACACCTAGCTCAAGGTCATCTACCAACACGGAGAGTTTCCAGATCGCCGTTCTCCTGTTTCCTTAAGATCTGATGGAGAGGGTACGATGGGACTCCATCTGACTGGAAAAGGTTGGAGGCCTTCCAAAAACTCTCCACCTTGAACGGAGTCTCTGAAAATTACTCGGCTGCCTGTTCACTGGGACTGCACAGAGAACTGCCCACAGTTACATGGGTTAGCGGAAAATTTATGAAAAGGCAAACAATTTTAGGTTAAAAAAAAAATCTAATTTTCTTTACAAAATTTCACCTCAGAATTCACCGTATTTGCTGAAAACATCTTAAATTTCTAAAAAAAAAAGTAAACTTGTGTAAGCTCTTAAATCACTGGTGATGACTTTTTACTTCCACGTATAAAGGGTTTCATATAACATGTACTATCTCCACCCAAAATACTCATTTCTAAACGAAAAAAATTACCATTTTGTTCAGAAAAATGCCCTGGTTTACCAGTAACTTCAGGTTTCACATCAGCTGAAGGTGACCACTACCGAAGGATCACAAGTTTGCTGGCTCTTGCCCCCCGATGAGAAGGACGACGGCGTGTGTTATGTACGGGCGTTACTCCAGCAACCCCCACTTTATTCGGCCGACCTGAGGTAACGTTAATTCCTTGATACGCACGTGATATTGCTAAACTGTTTAACTTCGCCCCTTCCCGTCACGTTTCAACAGGTATGTAAACAAAAACATATATCCAGTAGAAAAGACTCATTTTCACATGCAGTTCTGTACAGCGCGTTCTTCCTTCTCAGATTGTTTGAGAAGGCTGTTTCCACACAAATTATGTACATCTGCACTATATACATTTTCCACACGCTTCATTTAAACGTCTTCTTGTACCTCCAGGTGAGTGTTCTTATTCAGGCAGACACAAAGTAAGCCTGAGGAAAGTTCCCAAGAATCTCACCAGGTTAATGCCTTGACTGCTCTTGCGTTGCAGAGAAGAGGAGCAGTCCAGAAAAAAACCCAGCTACGCACAGCAACCTCTTCAGCAGAGCGGAGTTATCTTTCGGAACCACGACCTGCGCTAGATCGTTAGTGATCTGAGAAATCTCATGTGCCACGCACACAAAGATAAAAGTGCTGACAAGAACGTTAAACATCGGATAGCCAGGAATGAGCACCAAGATCCCCTTTGTGTCTGCTGCCAGCCAAATGTGGTATTGGCAAATGAAAAGCTGAAAGAAAAAAAGTGGGTTTAATAATACTTATATGTAAGTATTTCTACTTATTTATGTAAGTAAATATTTTTCCTAATCTAAACCATATAATCATTACTATTGCATCAACTGACACGCTGTACTTCTGCCTAAGTTGGACATCTCTGATTAAGTAACGTAACTCTGAGAAGCTGTTTTCCACGCCTCTGTGGTGAGGTTACAGGACACAGTAACTGGGTTTGCCCGTCCCTTAACCAACTGTGTTACGGCCCAGGGGAACAGCAGAACAGGCGAGGAACACGCCTCCGCTCCGCCACCGCAGCCATGGTGAGGGACTGAACTAACACGCCCGCTAATAAAAGACGAAAGCTTCGACTGCTGATGAACACCGAGGTCCCTGGAGCTGGTCAGCACCCTAAAGTTCTCCGGGAATCAAAACAGTGAAAATGTGATCCTTGCAAAAACACTCAAAATTGTGTACTGCACAGGCACTGTCATACAAGGAGTTTCTCCTCAAAGTTCCTTTCCCTTTTTAAAATATATTTTAGTAATACAATGAAATTAAACATTTAATATTATTAAACAGCAAATAAAATGGAAAGCAAGGTAATTCCTACTACTTCAAAATACACATCCAACGGAACAGACAACACCCGTGCTAAGAAGGGCTGTTTGGGCAGTTACGTGTGCCTGTTGATGCAGGGAAGCAAACACACCGATAAACTGGTCAGCGTAATTCACGCCAATCCTTCAACTGGCTTCATTTGTACCTTCCAACTGCTACACACAAGCATTAAATCCCCACTCCCACAGCCCTCGTCTCCCTGCCGAAACAGCGGAAGAACTTTGCTACCGTGAGACTGCTATTTCAGCTACGATTTTTGAGGGGAGACGGAAGCTATAAGGCTAGAAGAGGTCAGACACAACAGTGTGGGATTAAATTAGCCAAGAAATGGTTTTAGTATTTAAGTGTCAGGCTACTATTTCAGTAACGAAACCACCTTACATTCTGAGTTTCAATTAGCTGCATTTCTGATCTTTCTACTCACCTCTAGAGAAATTTTGCCAAACCAGGCAAAGAATGAGCTGTACACAGACCGGGCATATCCAGGAATGTTCCTGATGAGGATGAAAGCCAAAATCTTTAAAAAAAAAGAAAGTGATCGTGGATGACAAGCAGCTTACACACAGACAAAGGAGGTTTTACCCATTTTCACTGTCTACAGTGCAGCGCATCACGTGCAAAATTCCCTTCAAAACCTAAGAAATACGCAAACCAAACAATCCATACCCTCTATACTTAACAGAGCATGCCTGGAAACTGCAGACCTCTCACACCCAACCTTTTAGCATAACAAGTCACATTTACATCTTCAGGAGAATCGTGGCCTTGATGTGGATGGCTCCTACCTACACCCTCAGGAGGCACAGTCACAAACTGCATCCTACTGCCACTGCCTAAACCGAAGGTAGCCACAAATGTGAGTTAACCCCCAAGTTGTAAAGAGAGGGTGTCGAGAAGGACAAACTAATATTAAGAAATTAATCACACGTGCTGCCCCTCGAGGAAGCGGGGACAGAGAGGGGACAGAATCAGACAGCTGGGGCACAGGGGCAGGGGCCACAGTAAGAGGGAAACCTAAATTTAGGAAATGTAAGAAAATCTTAATTTAAGACCTTAATCTTAATTCAGAAGATTTAAGAAATCTTCTGAAGCACAAACAAGAACAGACAGGTGCTGTCACTGGAAGGAAAAGGGCAGTAATTACAATTACCTGCACCACAGAAACAGAAGGATGTAGTTCATTGCACTCGGTTTTGTTTTTACAGCTACTAGCCCAAACAGAATAGGTCTGAAAGATACAAAATTCATGGTGTGTAGCAATTATATGTAACATTTAAAAACGAAACAAGAGGTGAGACAAGAGGTTAACTATTCTCAAGTGCTTCAGCAGCAATCGGTTCACTGAGCTGTGAGGCAGCAACAGAAATGCCTACACTGTGCTTAGTTTTGTGTCCCTCTCAAATTCTGCTGCGCAGTCAATGAGTATCACCATACTTATTCATACCCTAAGACACAGGCACACCGTTGGCCATTTTTTCATCGCAAACAGACAAGCGATCAAGAGTGGAGGTAACAGCTGCGTTATCGACCATATTATTTCTATGATCCAATTTTCTTGTGACCTTTGCAATGAACTGAGTGATGCTGTTTTCATCTGCAGTTGACTGAAAGGAACACTATTTTAGTGAGTAGATAGGCAGGGCTGTGCACAAAACCACAGCTGAAATATCTCCAGATCAAGATTTGATTTTTTTAAATCAATCTGTTTTCTAAACAAGTACTTCAGAAAACTTACTCTTTAGAGATTAACCGACCTGATTGTACTAGTTATACTGGGTACGTACCAAAAAGGATACAATTGAAATAAATAATAAAACATTTGAAACTCTGCTGGAGAAAAGAGGATCTCCCTTTCCTTCCGATATCATCTGACGTTTCTGCAGTGCCAGATAAATAAAAGCAAACAGCATCCCATGAAAAACCACCTGTAAAAGACAAACAGAATGCAGTGAGTATTTCGTGGCTTTTACAAGTACTTGAGGTACAAACTCTTAACAGAAATGCTACAGAATAAACTATTTGCAGTACCAAGGCTTAGCTGTGAAAAGGTCCTGTCCTGGATTTACTAGGCAAACTTTCTACACGAGGTTGTCATATGCTGCATTGTTTAACACAACCCTAAACCTACAAATAAATTGCTCTTAGTAATGCTTCACGGAGCATGAAAGACACGACAATGAAATCTCAAGAAGCTCCTAAGTACCTACTATCCCCTCTGAAATCTATGCCAGCACTGAAAAGGGCTTTCTCTGGGGAAAAAACACAAGTGTCTGGCATTGTCCCAAGTTGGCAGGTGAAAACATTCAAGAAGCACTACAAGTGCTTCCCTCTCTCACAGACACGATTCTTCAACAAAGCGGTTTGTGATCTCATGCCAAGTCCTCATTAGCTAGCAACGTGATGCTGTTTCGGACCCACGTGGTGCTTGTCTCCCGTATTTATTTTGGAACTTCCTCTTCAGCAGCATCACAGAATACACTCTTCACAAGGAACAAAGCTCCAGATCTGAAACGTCGTGATGCAGTGTGCGCAGCTGGCGGCGGCAGCCTGGGATGGGACGGCTGCGTGCTCCGCAGCTTTCAGTTACTGAGATTGCCAGAGGGAGAAGCGGGCAAGTGATCCCGTTCAGGATAAGGTTAGCAGATAAATGCTCCCATCTTAGAAACTCCACTTACCCTACCAAGAAGGAAAAAAACCCCCAGTGTCTCCCTGTTCTATCCCCCCACACTGCAGGGTCAGTAACTGGAAAAGAAAGCACTTTCCCACTGGAAAACCATTTTAAAAATATGTGCAAAAATAGTCTGGGTTGGGCATCAAGACCCTTATTTTAAACATGCTTTAAAGGTTACCTTAAACAAAATATATCCGTAATTGATACAATTTAAAAAAAATATTATTAAGAGCCACCTCAACAATTTGCCTTGTCATTCAACAGCCTGAAGTGCTACAGCTGTGACATTTTCACAGCAGAATTTTTGAGAAAAGAAAAATCTAGGTCATTTTATGACTTTATATGTCAAAAGCAAACAGGATCCAGCAAATAAATCTACATCCACCTTTTAAGCCAGGCTTTGACAGACATTTGCAGAAGTAAGGTGAATGCAGCTTAGCCTCCTATTAAACAATCCAGTGGGATAAACTCCTGCTTTCTCTAGAAGAAAGGAAAAACAACCCTCCCTCCCCCTCAAAACACATACTTAAGACTGGGTTAAATTTATGCAGATGTTACATACGTAGCGATCCAGTTTCCACCTAAACCACCATTCATAAACATTCCCATTCAGTTCAAAACACTTCGACAGTGGCCAAAAAGAAAACACCTTCTCAAACGCGCCCTGTAAAAAAAAGAAACGTGACGAAAGCATTAACACTGATGTTGACCACACTTACTAAATTTAAATCAATATGCTGTCTTTTAATGTTATCTCGTCCCTATTTCACTAGCTACGTGGCGTTACCAAAATAACAGGCTTCCTCAGAAGACACTCCCCATCCCAAAGAAAGAAATAACAACCCAAAAATACTTCTTCAGATGAGAGAGGGTTTCAGTTTTGCTTCCTGTGAAGGTACTGGCGTTTTATATTGCAGGTTTAAAGGGAGAGATCCACTGACGTGTTAGGATAACGACGGCATACTCTACCGAAGACTACAGCTCAATGGTTTAAAACCAATGAGGGATTAAAACCACACAACCTCCCCTGTAAAACCCTAGAATGAAAAACTCTGCCCTTTTTTCTGTCAGCAATACTTACAGCATCCATCAGTCACTAATTCACGAGAGCCAGCTTTTGGTGAGGTATCAAAGCCAACACCAGGTCTCTTGAGAGACACAGATCATCTTATCACCATCTGTATCACCATGTGCTAGCAAAAACCAGTCACTTTAAACACATCAAGAAACCCCACCCCAAAACCTAAGCATAGACCTCTGTATTGATTCAATTCATAGTAGTATACCGAAAACATGTCAAGCATTACAAATGAGTACGATATAGAATTATGTCTTTTCCAGCATTCACATCAATTCTGACAGGAATAGACTGAAAGGTTCCATTTTTTTACTTCTGCATTTATGATACATGAGGAAATACAGAAGTTATGAGCACATTAAAAAGCAGAGATAGGTAATACTCCTAGGTTGTTAAGGATAAAACCAGCCAAAATATACAAACCTGAGAATATGACAGAAAATATATACATGTCAGAAGGCAAATCAGTTTCAGCAGCAAACCAAAGTGCCATAAGCAATTCCCTAGGGAAGAAATAAATTAAGTGGTATAGTGTCATCAATTTTTCAATAGCAAAACCCAGGGCACATTAAATATTAATTGCCAATTATTTAGCGTAGCTATGCTTAGTAATAGATACATCAGCACACAGATACATAGAGTACAAGTCCTCTGAGGAACAGCTGGGGGAACTGGGGTTGTTTAGCCTGGAGGAAGCTGAGGGGAGACCTTATCACTCCCTACAACTACCTGAAAGGAAGGTGCAGCGAGGTGGTTGTCGGTCTCTTCTCCCAAGTGACAAGCAATGGGACAAGAGGAAATGGCCTCAAGTTGTGCCAGGGGAGGTTTAGATTGGATATCTGGAAAAACTACTAAACAGGCTGCCCAGGGAGGTGGTTGAGTCACCATCCCTGGAGGTATTTAAGAGACACGTAAGCATGGTGCTCAGGAACATGGTTTAGTGGGACTTAACAGTGCTGCATTTACAGTTGGACTTGATGATCTTAAAGGTCTTTTCTAACCTAAATGATTCTATAATTCTGTATTTTATCACTATCTATATTCCCATATTACATTTTATTTTTAGCAATTAATGTAAACATTCACAGCAATTAACAACCTAAACAATTAACAATCAAAATCCTAAATTAAGCCTCATGTCTAAAACAGAGACAACATGCATACAGAAAGAGAGAATTTAGGTGTTCAAACAGAAACACTGTTTTAAAGCCTCTGCTTTCCCAAAGACTCTGCACAGGCAGTCCTTATTCTGGGTGGATGTAAATAAATAAAGCAACATGCCGAACAGCTTTTGGCATGTGAAGTAAGTAGAGTGTATATTATTAAATAACTTTGAGGTACCAGTTGTACTCCAAAGCTCAACTGCAGGCCTTTCAGGACAAGTATCTTAAGAGACGCATGAGAAACTGCTCCTCAAAGATGTCAACTGACATGAAGCGCCACCCAGGTCTCAACACTGCAGCAGAGATCATCTCCCTCTCCCGCCATATATACTGGGAGCTGTGAACAGGGACTTAAACAACTGGAAGCTGTCACAGAAAGATTTTCTAGTTTCACAGTACACCCCTGCTCCAAAGTATACAACAGACATTTCTCTATCTGGAACAGAAGTGCCTTTGGAGGAAAAAAAAATTAATATTGGAGCTATTTGCCTTTGCTATATCTTGTAAAACTACTTCCTACTACTACTGGTTTTGCAGCATCTACTCCTAGCATGCATTTGGTATATTTCACTGTCATATCTGCAGAGTATAGAATTTGGATATTACTCATCAATAGGGAAGGAGGACCGAAGACTCTCAAGGTTTTAGTTCTAATTTAGGTGAATTAAATAATAAGCATTTACTGCACGATGACAGTTCACCAGTGAGCTGGAATGCATAAAATAAATAGGGATTTCACCTCAAGTTTTATTTAAAACATCCATTTCACAAGACATACTTCTGACAGTTCACTCAGTCTAAGCCACTGAGATAACAAACCCCAAGTTCTTATTTGGTGGGACATGGCAGAATTAGTGCTCAAGAGGGATGAGGGATGTTGACAAAGCAGAATGGGAAAGTCTAAACGCCCACTGGTCATGCCGTACCCATCAGTAAAATACAGCAACAACCTTGGGTAGCATAGGTAGTGTAACCTATGTTTGAGTTTGCATTCAGTAATATTATCATATATATAATAATATTATAAGCTATCATATTATAGCTCTTGATAAAACACATTTCTGATGGTCAAAACCTATTAAAAATATTCTATTATGACTGTAGCCGGAGACAGACATTAGTTATCAGCTGTTACATTTTTCAACCGACATACAATTCATCTATGACAAACTTTGTTTCTGTGAATAGCTATTTACCATGGTTCGTCTATGTTAAAAAGAGACTGAAATGTGCTAACACCACCATTTTCGGTATGGTTATAATTTGTAGTTACATGCAAAGGTTTTACAGCAGAAGGGGAAAATCAGAATCTTACCATTTGCTTTCTTCTGGACTATCTGAGGCCATACAGCTAAGGTGGCATAAATGATCATAAACCAGACAGTGACTAACGGCACAAAGTAGTAGAACTGGTAAGGTCGGTCCATCACTATGCACAGTACCACCACCAGGAAATTGAGACGAAATAAAACCTGGAAGGAGTCAGAGGGGAGAAGACGGAGGGTGTATAAACTGGGAGGCAAAGCTAAGAGAGACGAGGCACCTGTTTCTTAAACACTATATGAAATTGTCTATGCATTTTACATCTGGCACGCTCCTTGTATTTCAGCTGAAATGTGGGTAAGTATCTTGGGGAAAATGAATGATGCAATGTAAGACTGCAGGCTGATGATGTAGTACCGGACCTGCCCCTCGCTGGCCTACTAGGGTAGAGACAGCAATGAAAACGACTCCATGCTGGGGACTGAGTATTCCAGTTGCTGGATGCTGTTAATGCCTCTCTGCTTTCGCTCCCACAGCCCCCGGCGAGCTCAGTTAAAGCAAGGGTAACGTCAATATCAGCGCTGCAGTTAGGCTGCAGTCTTACGTCTAAGAAGCACGATGAGCTGAGCTACATGACAGCATAAGACTTTAAGAGCAATTTATTTTTATATTTAATTTTTTAAACTGCTACAGCACACACTGCAAAACCTGGCAGGGAAACCACAAACACAGCTATGTCCTCCAGTACTGTCACAGTGTGAAAATGCATTTCCTTTATTAACAAATGTAGGCTGCAATGCACCATCTTTGGAAGACAAAACAACCCACAGAATCAATATATCTGACTGGAAAGTATTTGTTTTCTCCCTATTTTTCATTCTGATCTGAAAACTCAAACCCGTAACTAGAAAGGCTTTTGGACTAGGAAAACACCAGTTTTTAAATTACAAAAGAACCCCAACAAAACCAAACCCCACATATTTGTTTTGCAAAGGATGCAGATATATCTGACAAACTTGTGAAACTTTCAAGTTTCTAAAGAAACTAGTAGAGGGCTGTGGTATTTCTGACCATATTGTACGTATCAAATGGTTAAGCGTACTGTTACACAGAACTGTCACAACAAAAAAAATTAACCCAACGAATTCTCAGTTGAGAATGACAGTAAAAATTACATCCAATATTTGGTGGTACTTCGCTGTATCTTGAAAGAGGTAATGAACAGTCCTACAGTGATGACTCTTGTTCATGTATTTGTAATCTACTTCAATGCAAAACAGTTGGATACTTAATAAAATAGCAACATGAAGAATTTGACGGATCCAGAAGATCACTCATTTGAAGGAAAGAAAGATACCAAGATACCCCAAGTGCTTCGGGACACTATTAATGGCCCCAGCTAACCAGCCCAAAGGTTCTTTGTTTCACCAGCAAGTGAGGAAGAAATCCAAAATGCATACAAAAATTGAGTGCATTCACAATTTAAGCAAGTGGAAGTGACTGCAATTGAATTCAGAGACATGACACCATTTGTTCCATCTACATAAAGATTTGCCATGCTGGGAGCAAGCAAACCAATGTGCTGAATAACTTGCTGAATAATCATCTTTATTCACAGAAGAGGACAAGAAGAAGAAATTGTGTACACAACTGTCTCTGGGATTCACCATTTATCTACTTGTATAAAGAAAACTAATAGAAACATACTAATAACTAAAAAAACTCAAACACAGGAAAATATCAAGATGGAGCAGATTGATACTGTAAGAAAAAGGTAAGAGAAGCAAAATGAAGTGGGCTACAAGGAAGCTGGGAGGGGACTTTTTACAAGGGCCTGTAGTGACAAGACAAGGGGTAACGGGTTTAAATTGAAAGTGGGAGGTTTAGATTAGATATCAGGAAGAAATTCTTTACAGAGAGGGTGGTGAGGCACTGGAACAGGTTGCCCAGAGAAGCTGTGGGTGTCCCATCCCTGGAAGTGTTCAAGGCCAGGCTGGATGAGGCTTTGAGCAACCTGGTCTAGTGGAAGGTGTCCCTGCCCATGGCAGGAGGGTTGGAACTAGATGGTCTTTAAGGGCCTTTCCAACTCAAACCATTCTATGACTCTAAGATTCTATTTCCAACGGCTAATTTGGGAAAACCATCACAATTTTTTGCCAACAGGGGAAAGCAGATGAAAACATTCACGCCACCTATCCATTCTCAATAGTATCTGGAGAAAGGCTGCTCCAGAGGGCGATTCAGAACACAAGTGCTATCCATGCAAACCTCTTGCTCACCAGTGCCTGTCGAGTAAATCTAGGAAGATCGAGCAAATCAATCTGTTGCCAATCACATCCCAGCCTGCCTGGATCACTGTATTGTAAATTGCTACTGCAATGAAATCACCATTACTATGTGGTGAAAATAGTTGTCTTGGTATTTTAAAGGCTACATATTTACATTTTTGACATTGCAACTCTCATTTATATGCTCTATGTTTGTACTAGATAAACACTACTGATTGAACAGATCAGATTACATAGAAACAATAGCCATTTCCAATGTGCAAACCTGGTTAAGTATTCTCCTATCACATTATTTAGGGATTGTTAGGGTTATTTTGTTATCTGAACAAATATCTTCATAAAAACAGTAAGTAAATACTCTTACCTGACACACTCTGTATACAGCAAAGTCTCCTTTTATCCAAAAATATGAGAAGTGTCCATAACCTGTTTGGAACAGATACGCAGCAACCAGAACTCGAATGTGCATATACACAGGCAAAAACTGTCGAGAAAAGTAAAGTACCTTTTATAAATGGCCACGTAAATGCTTTTGGTTTTCCGCCCTTCCCCCCTGTTTCATGCTTTTTCTGCATTGCAGTAAATCAGATTTAACTAAGAAAAGAAACTTTATGCTGTCTTTGCCTGTTCCTTACTAAGCTCTTTTGTTGTCCTAACCTCTCGGATGTTAAAAAGAGTTGCTGCTATTTATTGCTCCATGCTTTCATATTCTGTAACCAGTTAAGAGAGAGTTAAGAAAGGATGTTTGAAAGATTACATTCACAAGTTCCAAGTTCTGAACATAAAAAAGAAAGTGTTGCTAGCAATTAAAAAATAAATGAATGTAATATTCTACATGGAGAGCACAAATTTATTTTTCATTGGCTAAGTAACGCAGAAAATGCTCTTATTCACACTTAATTAGAGAGAAAAACTAATTCTGCTAATACCATTTTTAAAACAACAGAAACAATAGCATGATTTACTCCTACTCAACTCTAATACGCATTTGCACCATCTTTCTTTTAAAGTAACATACCCAAATTGCATTCCCACTTAAATAAATAAATCAATAAAAAAATACTTACAGTGCTTGCTCCAGAGATATGATAAATCAAAATAACAAGTTGCATCCAGCCCTTCCATTCATCAGTCTGTTCTCTATTTAACACTTTAGTCTAATGCAAAACAAAACAAGAGTGTTGCTATTCCAAAAAGTACAACGAACATCTACAAAATGAGGAGAAAAAGTTCAAACAATAAACCACTTTATGGGTGAAGAGGTCGCAAATGTAAAAGACTGCTGTCTAGTGGACACCGATCTACCAGATTTCAATGTGCTCTACTCTCTCTTGCATCTGAGCTATGCTCACTTCAAATCTGGCTGAGAAACAAAGGCTAAAAGCACTCATACCCACATGCTTTCAAAAGGCTTTTGCACCTAATTCCATGCCAATGTTACAGTGCTTGTGAGTACATTTGAGTTATACTGACTTTGCAAATCTGACTTCCAATGTTTACCAATAAGTTATTTACACTCAAACTGGGAAACAACGTTATAAGAAGGATGTCAACATGATCATTACCTCTTTGGTATTTTCGGTATAAAATACACCCAAAACCAAGATATAGATGATTGGTATGAAGAAAGATGAATGTGTATAAAATTTATTTTCCTTCATGAAAAGATTTGCTCTGTCACACAGATAAAAATAGGTCATGATTAGACCAAGTTTGCAGAAGGAGTGTAAGAGCATCTCTAAAGTAGAAACATTAGGAGTGCTGATGGCAGGTTTCTTCTCCTCTCCGCTTTCCAAATCAGTGCACGATTTGTTCTTCCGAAAATTATTCCGATGAATGAAATTGATAATTAAATATCCAATAATGGACAAGGTAAAGAAACAGAAAGCTAACTTCTGTATCAAAGTGAGAGGAGGCTGAGGCTGGCAGCAGGAGCCATCAATGGGCTTCATTATCTTATTGCAGTAGACATTCATGAGAATCATCGCATTCTGTCAAAGAAACAGGCAGTTTCGTCAATTAATTTCTCATAAAAGAAGTTAACATTTTCGTCCTATGAAATTTTCTTCTAGATCATGCAGTGACATAAAACATGCAATTCTCCCTTATCATTACAAAGATAAAATGTCACAGGACCCCGATATACCTAGTCACATCCAACAGTACAGTCAAAACATCTCTTCCAAACAGGAAACCCTTGAGCTACTTGAGGTAAGCAGAAAGAGCTATTCCTAATCCTTGCAACAGAAGGGTGTCTCTGCTGCTTGTAGGAGCTAAAGAGAGCTAAATGAAAAACAGCTCACAAACTTGGGTCCTAAAGGGTCATGGTAATGAAAGTCTCTAAAACATGACAATGAGACTGAAACTTGTGGGGAGATGGTATTTAGCCATGCAGGAACTAAAACCTGCAAAGGAGTGGAACTCAAAAGTGGCATGGCGGGAGAGCTCACTCACAAGAAGGGCAGACTGAGAAGCTCAGAGGGGTTCACTGCATACATATGTATATATATATAGATAGATAGATAGGTAGGTAGGTTAAAGATAAATAAGAAGTCAAGTCATGGCACTCCATGCTACCAGGAAGGTATATACTGTGTGTTTTCTTATTGTTTTCATACTCCTTACTGAACAAAATCATATGGGCACATAGGGGAAAATTTAAGACTTCTTTCTTAGCACTGCTGTAAAACCAATTATCACTAACTCATTCATGCAGATGAAGGCATAAAGTTTGCACTCAGGATCTAAAAGATTTAGTGGGTTAGCAGCTATTTTAAAATAGCTACGTGCTAATGTGTTTACTATTGTGTTTCTTAAACACCCTACATAACTGACTGCCCTCCCACCTATTGAGATCTTCTGAACACAATTTCCTGAAGAACGTGCAGGTCCTCATTACATTCATATTGTCTCCCATTCCAGAACATTCCCTTAAAATCTTGGTTTACTATTATTACTTTTTTATGTTGACCAGTGATGAAAACACTTACTGTATCTCTGCTTGATTCAGGGAGATGCAAGCCATCTGCAGACTTCATGATAGTTTCTTGTGCTATCAATTTTGATACACTGAACATTTTAACTTTAGCTTTGGAATTTCGGGAGCTGCTGTTCAGAATACGAACAGCTGCTTCGTTATAAGCATCTATTTTCTCATTAGTGATCATTTTCCGACTTTCACTCAGCATATCTTCGTAAACAGGGTCTGAATTTGAAAGGACAAAGAACAGGCACATTAATCTTCTACTTGACAAATACTTAGCTCAAGTCATACAGGCTACTTTCATTTAGGTAGTCACAATTGTTTAATGGTGCAGAAAAACGTACAGCAATGAATGACTGTTACAGTAACTGAGTAGTAGCAACAGTGGTTTACAATGAAATGTTCTTACTGCCATTGCCTAGTCATGCATATGGACCTATAGATTAGAAAGCTTTAGCCAGACATGGATGTCTGCTTAATTTCCCCAAACGCATCAAGAGTGTACAATGCTGGAGTACAGAGCTGCTTATGCCTTCTCTCAGTAATGGAATCCCCCAAGGAACGACTCCAAAGCCAAGAGGACAGAAGATAGGCAGCAGAATAGACATGTAGGGGGAAAAAAACTCCCTCAAACCCTCTAGTTACTGCAGAAGAAAACAGCTTCTAATTTCTCTAAGTCATAGTCCACTTGCTCCTGTTGATTCCAGTTTAACTGATGGCAGAATTCCAGTTTCTCAGAATGGAACACCACTTCATTGCCTCCAGGCTTCACAAATTATGTACAGCTTAACCCAAAGCTATATGGGGTTCTAGATCAAAAGCTCAGCTGGAGATCAGTAAGTTGCTATGCAAAGCTAGTGATGCTCATGACTCGAGTGAAACACGCTATACAAGCCGTCAACTGATTTACTTTCTCTACCTCAATGTCTATTTTTGGACAATCGGTGTCTGGCCAACTCTGTGTACAGACTGCTTTTCCTCTTATTTGTTCCATTAAACAGTTCAGAGATGACTTAAATGGACTGGATCTTTCTCAACAGAACACTGGGATATATCTGACTGGTAACTGCTTTTCTTATGTTTCCAAACATGGTTTGGAAAGGAATGTGAGAAGATGAATCTCTTGATTCAGGTTAACATCTAGAACCATCTTTGACAGGAACTCGGACGTGACTGTAAGGGTACAGCTGGGTATATTCCTATCAGAACTCAAAATCTGCCTATGTTTCTAACTGAGGTGATGATAATCAAAACACTGTACTCTATGGCAGATAAACCAGGAGCACATTCTACCTACGAGCTCACAGTTCAGTGTCAGAGACATACTTTAGTTTCTTGGAAGAAAAGCAAAAGAATGTAAGCTTGGTGCCATAATAAAAATACCACAGACTCATTTTGAACCATGATTTCTGGCTCCTAGTCTTAACTCATCAGTGCTCAGTTTGCAGGAGCAAGTTTCATTCTAGCGACTTACATTTTCTGTATTCTCTAGAGTATATCTGTTCATTCCAGACAAGCACAAAGGATGCACTTGTTGAACCTCTTCTATTATTTATGTAATCTGAAAATTTCATTGAACACAAACACAGGAAAGCAGCTGTCCCATGCACTTGTGTTCTTGATTCCCAGAAGGCATGTATGGCGCACAGCACAGGGAGAACAGACCTGGCATGTTGAGTCTGAGAGTAAGCTATCAAAGAATAAAGAGTTCAGAAGACAAAAGGTTTTCCTGAGAGAGCTTTAAAATCTCCATCACTAGTAACAACTCGTTAGGTACCAGCTAGTTAAGGCTGCAAGAAAGGCCAAACTGGAACTCAACCATCACCCTTTTCACTCTGCAAGTAAGCAGCATAGACCAAGTTTTTCCATATCCTAGAAGATAACGATTCCACAGACAGTGACAGTACAGATTGTTACCTGCTGTTCATTACTTTACCTTGTAAGACCCAGTAAACATCGCTACTTTTTGCTAATTTTTCCAAAAGAGGTGCAATTGAAGTGATATTTATTTTGTATTGTGTGAGGGCTTCATTGCTGCCATTGTGAATCTTGATAGACCACTGGAGAAATAAATAAAGAGATTCAGAATCTGTATGTCTGAGGCCCTTGAATTAACTGATTCCATTGCTCCATCAGTAGCTATCTGTCATTATTTCTATAAAGCTAGATTATTTCTTTAGTCCTCTCTTCTAAAGTGCTAAAAAGTTCTTAGGAACCAAGCAGCTGTCTAGACACATTCAAACAGACCATTTAAATGTGGAGTATATAATATTCAAGTTAATGTATAGTTGATTTTTCATAAATTAAGTGATGCAAGGTGTTTCAATTAAAAGCTCCTTTACTTTGAAGAACAATGAAGTAGCAAAGCCAGCCACATTATTGTGGATGCCCCATCCCTGGCTGTCTTCAGGGCCAGGCTGGACAAGGCTTTGAGCAACCTGGTCTAGTGGAAGGTGTCCCTGCCCATGGCAGGGGGGTTGGAACTAGATGATCTTTAAGGTCTCTTCCAACCCAAACTGTTCCGTGATTCTATGATTATATGAAAATCATGGCCAATACAGTAGATTTTTGCTCTAAAAAACTGACCACACCAAGAAATGCATACAAGCAAAACTTGAGAGTGGTATCAAGTTCCATTATTTCTGTTTTGCAGATATCCACAAGAAAAAAAGACCAAAAAAAGGCAAATAAAAAGAGTCACTTTAATTTCTGATTTAATCTTCTGTAAGAAATGACTGGGAGAATGCTAAGCTGCCCAAGAATTTCTCCTAACTACTGAAAAGACTCTCACACACTGTAAGAAAAACAGATTTAGCATTTTTTTTAAGTATTACTTTATCTGTACTGATTTAGTCAAAATCTGTAAGTAAAAAAAATTAGCCTGAATGTAGTGAACTCTCTAGTTATTTCTAAATACCTACATAAAAATTTTGATGTAAGCTAAGCATACTGATTAATCACTTCCTGAGAATATTATCAAACATAAATTAATACTTCATGAAACAAAATAACATGCAGCTGCCCTGAGAACTCACACTTTGGGGGGGGGAAAGTAGTTTCTCCCAGTAGCTAAATCTTTACTCGTAAAATACCTACGGTATTTAAAGAGACTTTTTAAGAACCATATTCTATTCAGAAGGAACTCAGGAACTAAGAAGCAGAGCACTGCAGTGACATTCTCAGAGCACATCTTTTTCACACAACAGGCAAACAACTGAGTTTTGTACTAGCTGGACCTTCTCCAGCTCATAAGACTTTAATTCTATTTATAAACTGTCATGCAGCTGACATCTTAAGACAGACATGTCCACATCAAAGCAGCATGACAAACCAAGAGCAAAGTTAAAGATACAGCTAAGCTTCAAAATGCTGACCAGTCCAAGGGCACACCCCAGTTTACTCTAGTAGCAGATTACCACACTAGTGCTAGCCACGGTGATGTTGCTGATGCATCAGACTTCTGAAGCACTTTATCTTTCTGCAAGTCCCTTAAGATAGGGGATGTTTACCTTTGTCCAACTCGGTATCACCATTAATGTTTTGAGCAAATACACTGGTGTTATGAAGAGCTGAGCATCACATACATATTGTAGTTTCGTACCTCCTGCTGTCCACAAAGGACAGCAAGCTATGGGTAATATATATATGAGTAAAAGGACTTATTTTACTAAGAGTCCAGTAGTTGTGCAACCTGACCTTCAGCATGCCACCACGCTATCCATATATAACGGCATATCTGTGTGAAATACAATGACTCATGCTGGTATGACATGCTAGATTCTCAGACTGAGCAGAGGTATTCTAGGCATACTAAGATTCCCAAAGCTCAAATATTTACGTGGATCCTACAGAGGATGAGAATCTGGGGGGTTCACCTGTAAGGAACCAGAGAATTTCTGATCCCTCAGGAAATGTATGTATGGAGATCTGCATACACATATGACCTTCCCTTAAAACTGGAGGAATTCACCCTAGATTGGCATGTCCAGGAGCTTCCAGACAGGTAGAATGCCTGAACTGTCTCTAAACCAAACTGCTTTCAATGGATTTTTTTTTTAAATGGAACACGATTTCCCCCCCCTCTACATGTGAGTTGGTATGAATTTATAATATCTAATACCTTTTAAATTTCAGTTCCAAAATACCTGGAAGTAAGGGACATTAAACGTGGAATTAATGAGACAAGCAGCTCTTCAACTCTTGACTCCCAGTACCAGACAACTTCTGGAATAGAGTACTCAGGGAGGGGCTGTTGAATTCCGTCCCTGGAAGTTTTAAAGAACTGGTTGACTCTTAAGCACGACACAGGTATAACTGATCCTGACTTGTGGCAAACTGGTGTGTTAGGAGACCTCTTAAGGTCCTTGTCAGCCCAGTTTTCTGTGATGCTGCAGGTCATAGCAGTGGTGGAAATTTCCAATGGAGCAAGATTCATGAAGTGCAAACTCTTCGGTTGTTGAATTCTTGTAAAACTTGTAAATTCTTGTCTTGAATCTTGTAAAATTCAGGGGTTTGCCCATATATGTTTAAAAGACCTATGTGCACTCAAAAAGAGCATTCCAGATTGGGCCATGCTTAAAAGCAGTATTTTGTGACTGGAAAGATTTTATTAAAAACGTATCTCAGTTAGTATGCAAGTACTTTTATAGTCCTTTTTAAATTAATAATCTGCTTTTAAAAAAGAAGCTACTTTATTAGTAGGTTCAAGCTAATCAATGCTTATCAACCAGTATTGCTGCCAAAAAGCAAGTACTGTGCATCACACAGAAAATTCACTGATAGCATATTTTTATTAAAATTTGGTTTAATAACCTCATCATGTAAGCAGTGTGAGAACATTATTCTACTAGAGCTTCCTTCTTTACAAAGTATCCATACATGTGTAACTTACCGTGGCAGCTCCTGCTACAATTATATGAGGTTTTGCCACAGAACCCTAGGACACAAAGGAAAAAGAAATTATTATTAAAATGTTCACAAATATGCTTCTTATTATATTGAGCAGGTTAATCAAGACTCCTATCTTAATTAACTGTGACTCAACTTGTCCACCAGTTAATGGTTGCAAAGGAATAGACTGCAGATATATCACAGAGAACATCAATTTGTGATAGACCAGAATTTTCACATAAAAGAGTTGGCAAAAGCACAAATCATCAGTGAGAACTTACAGTCAATATCAATTTAGCATCCTAAGTTCTCTTGAAAAGCTATCTAAACATATCCTCCTAAGGTCAAGTAAACTGTAGGTCATATTACTGAAGTACTCTTTCTCACAGTGTCTCTGTGTTCTCAAACATCTGTTTGAGCTGTTCTACAGAGTGTAAACCCACTGCAAACACAGGACAAGGACAACAGACAGTTGTTGGCCTCGTTGCTCTGGTCTGAAAGTTACACCTAGGACAAGGGACAGAGTACGTACTCCAACAGAAGAGTAGAAAGAAAGGAACAGTGCTGATCACCTCAGTATGAGTTTCGGCTTGGCACAGCAAGGGTTTAGCAGATCTCGATTTTTTGTAGTAATCACAGAAAAATTAACAGTAACTTCAGCTATCCTGATGGAAGGTAGTGTACAATAATGACAAACAGCTTAGCAAAAGAATCACTAGGGGCCACTGCTAAGTAATTCCAGGCTTTTTAAAGGTCAACAAAGGAAGAATTTAGTTGGCAATCTGTAAACATATTACTCATTATCAGAATTACGTACATAGTTTTATGCTGAGTAACATGACAACCTGTATCATAACTGAAATGCATAATTAGTACGTAATTTGAGGGAAATACTGAAAAAAAGAAATCAAGGCATTCTTGACTTTTCAAATTGCCTTTGTGTTGTTTGGAACACTCAAATTAACATAAATATAAAATCATAGAATCTCTCAAGTTGGAAGGGATCCATAAGGATTAAAAATGCTTGGTCACATAAAAGCAGAGCCATCACAGACATGGAGGAAGAGAAATGTCAAATCAGAGCAAAATCCTTTCAGCTCTAAATAGGATGAATCAACCTGCTCCTAGGAAGTAGGGTTATTCTGGTTTGGTTGGGTGTTTTTTTGGCCCAAGTGAAGCCATTCTTGTGAGACCAGGAAATGCCCAGAAACATATACACCAGTAAACATTCCCCTTTCATTATGTTGATGGCAAATTTCAGATCTCTGGCACATAACTACGTGAATATATGTGATATTCTGCAGTTGCTGGACTCTGAGTAATTATAGTTGTGTGCATGAAAAAAAAGAAAGGCAGTAGTCCTCAGGTAGTTGCTATATTTTCCTAAAAAAATGTTGATTTTAAGACAAACCTCTGTCCAAGATTTGATACGTTGCCTCATAGAGCCATTAACTTCTGGATGCCACAGGAAATCCTGTAAAATACATGCAGATTTACTCTGTAAGCTTACAGACAAGCAGTAGACTACTAACAAAAAATAAAAAACTCCAAACTAATTGTCATCAATTCAACTGTGAAGGAAAAACACTTGGCCCAAAGTGAGATTTCCTTTATAGTTAGCATCAAGAGACTGACATCTCAGTCTAGCATGGAAAACAAAAAGGAGAAAAAAACCAAACCAAAACCCAAACCAAAAAACTCCAAACAAAACTCTCTACCCCCAAGAAAAAAGAATAAATTTTTGGTTTTAGTTCAGGAGTTGGGATTTTACCTGACCGAAAACGAAACCTACAAGGTAAGTTTCCGGCTGAATCAATTCCTAAACCAGTCCACTGCACAGCTGTAGCAGGTCTAGATACAGCACAAACACAGAAACATACCGTGAAGGGCAACAGCGTGGGACAGCACAGGCTTAAACTGCCATGGGCTCACACCTTAGAAAGTTACTCTGTACCTTAAATCTTAACCACACACCAAAACAAGTGCTGAAAGCTCACTTCCAGACAACCCAGCAAATACACTGCCGCTTTGGTTTTCATAAACAAAGAATAAACAAACACATGAATAGCAGCATCCCAGCACTGCTGACAGCTGTCATGTGAAGCAAAGAGCTACTGAGGACACCCTACCAATTGCTAGGGCTGAGAAGAACAGAGTCTTTCATAAAACCTACTCGAGTACTTTGTTTGTGTTTTTTTTTTTAACGTCCACATTATAATCAACATTGTGGTTATTTCTCCAGGCAAAAAGAGTAGAAGGAATACTTGCTGGGGTAGCACAGAGCACTTGATGGCAATAATGACAATTACCACTCCAAGTAAGTTAGCCCCAGAAACATAATCTTACAGCATTGGAAGCATAGACTTCCTGGCAAAAGCTGTTTTTGGGAAGGCCAAATTATAAGAACTGACAAAAAGCAAAATCCAGCTCTAACTGCAATTTGGATTACATTGTATGAAATAATAATATGCATTATTATGGCTTGCAATTTAATGCTAGATAAAAACTTACCACTTTAATTGAAGCAGATTTATCTTCAAAAGGGATATTTCCATGCTGTTAAAAAAAACCAAACACACAAAACCAATAAAGCCAAAGTAAGACAAGCTTTCAGAAAGAAAACAAATATGTACATTCATATGTTAATTTGCTCTCACCCAAAGGTTTATCTTCAGTAGAAAGGATTTTTCTTGTATGAACTTGTCAGTACACTCATACAAAATGTTCATGTTATTTGCTTGATAAAACAAGCTACTTGCATAAAAGGTTATTTTTCCTGGAAGAAATCTATCCAACAAAGTCTGAAATGCTTTCTGTTCACTCTGTTACAAAGGTATAAAAATTTTTCCTAAATTTAGCCTCCCAAAATGAGAAAAACTTAAACTTTTTTCCTTCTGTTCTTACACTTCCTTTCCCCAAGCCTTCCTCTTCATCGGCCCATCTCCTTTGCACAAAACAACAGTTTTAATTAAAGAATAAAAGCAAATAATCTCAGGCAGAAATGAAGTCTAGAATGCATTATTAAGTTTGCTGAGTGAGATTAAGAAATCAGAAAGGAAGCAGTCAGATCCTGCATACAGAATCCTCCTTTAAAATGCAATATTAGCACCAATCCTGGTCCAAAACAACAAGTGTATTTCTCTGCACAAACTGAAGATCTTGATTTCATCAATACTTGACAAAAGATGCTTCTCAACTTAGAAATAATTACAGCACTCTATCATCTCACCATCACTTTTGGGCAGCAACTGTGACCTAACCAACAGACTAGGAAAACCGGAGTTACTCGATCAATCAAACATCTCGTTTTGATAAGTAAAAGTGACTGCATGCTGTCTGCTGACAAAGCTGCCAGCGTGAGACAGAAGTACTAATTGACAAATCTGATCTACAGTTGAAAGGGAAACGTCTCTTCCCTCACACACATTTGTATATCCATAAAGGGACATGCCCAAGCAGCATGATCTAGCAAAAGAAATGACAACAGCTCTTCAATGAATGACACAGCCAAATCCTTTCTTACTGCTTCTACCCAGCAAGCTGCAGCTTACACTCTTCACCTTATCAAATTTAAACAGCTCTTCGGCAGTAATCAAAAAGAAGGTAAGACCAGAAGCTATTTTTAGTTTCAGCCTCAAGTTAGACCTGGAAATCTGTCATTGCTCCAAGGATTTTTATGAACAGATTAGATCAGCAATTTAACTGACATTTAAAATGACAAATTAGAAACCATGAATTGCTACCATTTAAAAACACACAAAGGAGCAATCATTTGCTCATCAAGAAGCCAAATATGAAGCATAAGTTGCTATGGGACAAGTCAGCTTCATTAATTTATTCCCAGACTGCCGCAATCTTTCTCTTGAGCTTCCTAGTTCACTTCTCAGATTCCCAATCATCTCATTAGTACCCAAAGAATTATCTTGGTGTAATATTTTTCTTCTCCGAAATACCCTTCTGTGGTTCTTCTTCCTAATGCCTAGGCCAGCAAATGGTATAATTGTTTGCTTTTCTGAAGTTCAGAGAAGAGTTATGAGGTAAAATAGGAAGAAACAAAAACATCACCAAAATAAAGTATCTTACCTTATTTCCTTCTTCTCTGACTTGAGGATTTATGAGTTTTATAAATGAATAGAACAGCTGTCGAATTCTAGAATCTCCTATAAACACAATATGTTTGTCTATGAGGCATTGTTTTGCTTCACTGTAAGACAAAACAACAACATTCAGGAAATCATGTTTTAGGAAAAAGTTTTTAGAAAATCCACAGAGCAATATAGATAACTCTAAGCATTATATCCAGCTTTAAAGAATGGTAAATCTTTGTTTTAAACATGCTGAACTAACAAAGTTAAGTGTAATTTGCTAATGTGATCAGGCAAACAACCCTTTCCTATTCTGTGGTGCTACAAACAGAGTAGTTTTAAAATACAGTGTAATTCTAGAAAATAAAGTCCTCCTACTTACTAGTAAGTGAAAAAATTGTTTGGTAATTTTATTTGGGATTTTTTAAACTTTTGATCCTACACGTAAGGTCAGCATTTTCCCTTTCAGCAACCTGAAGGTGACATAAGAAGCTATGCAGCCTCTTCACTTCCTTGTGGCTCCTCATCATAGGTATCAGTACTCCTACTACCAACACTTATCTGTATTTTATGTAAAAATACAACTGTGGTAAACACTGTAGACACACAGACAATATACAAGGAAAACCCTTCCTTACTTTGTGGGGGGTTGGAACTAGATGATCTTTAAGGTCCTTTCCAACCCAAACCACTCTCTGATTCTATGATTCTATAAATGTAGCATATTTTTGAAAGCCTAGAGAATCAGCTATAAAGGGAAAACCAGGTGACACTGCAATTACCACAGCTGCAGTCAAACAACAATTACTCTTCTTCCCAGGCAGATGAACAGACGACATGCGTTTCCTTACCTATTTTTATACTTATGCATCATACAACTGTGGGGCTGCCATACTTTTTCTCCAAGAAATCTTCCACTGGACAGAAGATATTCACACGTGTCCCCACCTTTAAAATGTTGTATTAAGATTAGAATTCAGACACATGGAAGTTAAAACTTAGCCCCATTGCTGTTAAAATAGTAATTTGGCAATAGTTGAAACACAGGACTTGACACAATCAACAGCAGTAAACAAATTTAACTTACTGTAAAAAACATGTTGCACATTTCTGCAAACTGCCTTCTCACCTATTGCACCACACTTCTCTAAA